GAAATCTTCATACTCTGATGACGGAGGCAGTATGACCTCTGAAACGTCGGTAAACATCGACCAGACTACACAGCGCAACAACCCAGAAGACAGAAATCTTCGTACTCACCGCTGTGAAAACCTCAAATCTTACAGGTTCATTAACTTTTGTTTATATATTCATTACAGACGTATTAACAATATAGGCTGAAATAAATAAACTTCAAGAATAGCAACGAATGCAAGTTCTCAAGGAATGTAACTGCCCACATTGAAGTCGTAAGAAATTTGATTTCTGAGAGGAAACAGCAATTTAAGTGGGAGTTACGCACGCCGTCTTCATAAAGAAACCTCCTTATAAATACCTGCAGAACATCCGATTCAAGGCTATTATTATTTTACCGTGTTATTTCTGCATTCATACTTTCCAGCTGGTTTATATACAAACACATGAAAGTAATAAAGTTTCTTTAAGTCTTAAAGTAAAATCACAAGACCTGATTGTTCAAAAACATGTCTGGTTTCCCGTGTAATTTATTAATCGTGTAGAAATGGGCACGTTTCGACAGGTTTGGAAATTTTTAAATTTTTAAACATATTTCAGTTTGTTTGCAAATTTAAGGAACACAAATTACCACAAGCACAAAACTTTCCATATCGAATAGTAATCTCGTACTCCTGCGATTACAGAAGCCTTACAGAGTGCAGCAAAAAGTCACGAGTTTTGCAAACATTCACGTCACAGGCATACAACGTATACGAAGCAGACTATAATTAGCGTCCTAGTGCACGTCATCGATTACGTCATAATTTCCTAACATTCAGAATATATCGAAAATTTACAAATTGTAATTTAAGCAATGTATGAATATTGTAAGTCTCTTAAAATTTATAAATCCAAATGATAATTTAAAAATTAAATCTAGGAAATTAATTTTAACTTTTTAAATATTTAAAAAAATTCAAATATCTCAATTCGTTACTTTTCTGAGCGAACTTATTTACAACAGATAAGAATACAGACAAAGCCACGGCTTAGCCGGTGCCCTTTAACACGTCTGCTTCTAGTAGATTACACATTATTAATGGACGAATAAACTTTCTACAATGCATTTTATTCTAGTTTTTCATTTTTCTCAGAAAATATAATGGCAAAGGATCATGCACCAATCCAATCAAGAACCTTCCCAGTATTTCTGCTTTGTCAGTTGTGAGATGAGGTAAGTGTCAGACCTCTACAGACGCCAAGATGATTTCCAGATGGGAAAAAAAAAAAGAGAAGAGATTAATGGTGCACTCGAACATTGACACACTCACCCTGTCAACTTCGATCGACTTCAACGCGGTGACAACATTTTCCTGGACGAGTTCGAACTTCGGCCTCAGTGCCACATGTCTCTTCTATAATTCTTTCGCCTCTTCAGAGTACTCGATAGCTTGTCAAAACATGTAACAAAGTACTTTTACTGTTAAAAATTTCCTGTGCAGAATGTTCAATTCC